GATGGTATCCGGCCAATGGATGTTGAGTATCTTGCGTAGACAGTTATTTATAAATACTTGTACTTTCTTGATTGTGGTTGTTGTAGTTCTCCAAGTTTCAGCTCCATACAGTAGAACTGCCTTGACGTTCGTATTGAAGATTCTTACTTTGATATTGGTTGAAAGTTGTTTTGAGTTCCATATGTTCTTCAATTGTAGGAAAGCGGCCCTTGCTTTGCCGATCCTCGCCTTTACGTCTGCATCGGATCCTCCTTGTTCATCGATGATGCTTCCCAGGTATGTGAAGGACTCTACATCTTCCAGAGTTTCGCCATCAAGTGTGATTGGATTGCTGTTCTCCGCTTTGAATTTGAGGACCTTAGTTTTCCCTTTGTGTATGCTGAGGCCTACTGATGCAGAGACTGCTGCTACACTGGCTGTCTTTATCTGCATCTGTTCGTGTGTACGTGATAGGAGGGCTAGGTCATCTGCGAAGTCCAAATCTTCTAATTGGTTCTGAGCTGTCCATTGTATTCCGTGTTTTCCCTCAGATGTTGAGGTCTTCATAATCCAGTCGACCACCAGAAGAAAGAGGAAGGGAGAGAGTAAACAGCCTTGTCTGACTCCGGTCCTTACTTGGAACGCATCTGTCAGCTGTCCTCCATGCACTACTTTGCACTGTAGTCCGTCGTATGAGTTCCGGATAATATTGACAATCTTCTGAGGAACTCCGTAGTGTCGAAGAAGTTTCCATAATGTCTTCCTATCTACACTGTCGAATGCCTTTTCATAATCAATGAAGTTGATGTATAGTGATGAGTTCCACTCAACTGATTGTTCGACGATGGTCCGTAGTGTTGCAATTTGATCTATGCACGACCGATCCTTACGGAATCCAGCTTGTTGATCTCGAAGTTGGGCGTCTACTGCATCCTTCATCCGGTTCAGCAACAATCTGTTGAAGACTTTCCCTGGTATTAACAGTAGTGTTATGCCTCTGTAGTTTTCACATTTGCTCAGATCTCCTTTCTTTGGAATCTTGACGAGGTGTCCTTCTTTCCAGTCCATCGGCACTTGTTCCTCCTCCCAAATCTTTTTGAATAGAAGATAAAGCATGCTTGTGGTTGCTTCGATGTCTGATTTCAGTGCTTCAGCTGGTATGTTGTCGGGTCCCGCTGCTTTCCCGGTCTTGATTTGTCTGACGGCCATTCTAATTTCTTCCGTAGTTGGTGGATTGACATCTATAGGAAGATCTATGTGTGCTGCTTCGATGTTCGGTGGATTCATTGGAGCCGGCCTATCCAGGAGCTCTTCGAAGTATTCTACCCATCTGTTACGCTGTTGTTGAATTTCGGTGATTGGCTTGCCTTCTTTGTCTTTGACCGGCCTCTCTGGTTTACTGTATTTCCCTGATAGTTTCTTCGTTGTATCGTAAAGCTGTTTCATATTTCCTTCTCTAGCAGCTTTCCCAGGTCGTCAGGGCCAACATTAATCCAACTTCCTTTTCAGGTTCCTCAGGAAATACCCTTCCATGGTATGAGCAGCCAGGAAGTGATATCAGCCCTCATACCCGTAACAACACATGAGACTGTCGCTCATTCTGGAGCACATGCTTAGATTCAGATCATGCTCTAGTACGAGCGCGTATCTGTCTGTGTCTTACTGGACGTAGGAAAGACGCTGCAAGTAAACCTCTTAAAGCCCTACTTAATGATAGTCAAGCTAAGAGTATATTTCAGGAACAACTAGGAAAACAGTTAGGCAGCCATGTATGTGATGCCCACCCCGAGGCAGCATGGAATGATATCCGGAAAGCTGTGGAAACAGAAGAGACTAGAGAAAATCAGGCTGGTTTTCGACCTGGACGTGGTTGTATAGACCACATATTCACACTACGTCAGGTCCTAGAACACAGACACACATTCAGACGCCCCACAATGGTAGTATTTCTCGACCTTAAGGGGGCATTCGACTCGGTTGATCGTAAGGTTCTATGGCAGTGTTTGTCACTGAAAGGAGTACCAAAGAAGTATATTAACCTTATACAGGCTCTCTACTCGAACACAACTGGTAGAGTGAGAGCTTATGGTGAACTGTCATCAGAATTGACTACCTCAAGTGGTGTTCGTCAGGGCTGTCCACTCTCTCCATTTTTGTTCAACTTTTTCGTTGACGTACTTTTAGTAATAACACTTACCTCGTCTAAATTTCCAGGGGTTGAACTTCTAGCGGGAGGTTCACTAGTTGACTTAGAATATGCTGATGACATAGTTTTATTTGGTGAAAACGCTGACAAAATGCAGAGTCTTCTGACCACTCTAAGCAACAATGCAAGCATGTTTGGGATGCGATTCTCCCCCTCGAAATACAAAATGTTGCTTCAGGATTGGGTTGCATCGACACCCGAACTAATGATAGGGAGTGAAGTAATTGAGCGTGTCGATCGCTTCACTTATCTTGGAAGTCTCATCAGCCCTTGTGGTCTGGTGTGTGTGACGAAATCTCAGCACGGATACAGAAGGCTCGACTAGCTTTTACCAACTTGCGTCATTTATGGCGTAGGCGAGATATCCGTGACATGGCTCAAAATTGTTTGCAATGGCGCAGGTGCATTCACTCTTTGTGTTCTCCCAAATTCTAATCTCCGGAATCCTCCTTGTCTCTTTTTTCTCTTTCCAAATTTATTTCACTGTATTATACTCTTCAAATAACATCTCCAAACATTAATCTTCCCGATTACTGCTTATACTCTTATTACCTCTTCCACTACGGGATTTGAATCGACCATTGCATCTCTGTGCTAATGTGGTGTGGCAACTCGAACTGATGTACGTACGTACGAAGTTCTACGTTGTTACCGACTGACTGACTGACTCCCATTATAATTATTACTATTATTATTACCAATACTATTTCGCTCTTATAAACTAATTTCTATTCGTTGTTGTTCTCCTTTTGTTATACGCACTTTACATTCTCTATTTAGTCACAACTTTATTTTTATTGTGTGGCGCGTATGTATTTGATGGTCCCTTGTATCGATGTTTACGTATTCAAATAAATAAATAAATAAGGTCCAGTATAGCATGTAAAACAAACAACTAACTATGACCGAGGTTATGTATTGTCAATGATAGATCTCATAAATGCCTATAAAGAGGAATAAGTCACAAACCTCGACTACATGTCAGCCTGAGGTGTGTTAAGTTAAAATGTTTCACTTATTGATGGTCCGATAGAAATATCAGCAATCAGCTAACAAGAAATTATTGCTGATGTTGAAAGCTTTCTTCAACTGTCTTAATAAATTATCTACTCTGCAATACAAAAGTTGAGGCATATCAAGAGCGATTTGTTTATCTTTAGTCTTTTTGCGAAAGAAGAATAAGCTTAGTTTAGCCAACTTCACGTAGCACAAAAGATTAGAGATCCTAGGTATCAAGTCAGGTGTAGTCCTTTGGACATTTTCCGACAGCGTAAACTTCAGATAAGATTTAGGTGCTTTCATTCAATATTCAGGTTCCGGTGAAATGTAGACTGTAAATAACATCGTCTTTTGACATTTAAGTGGCTAAAAGATCTAAATATTGATCAACCAGTCCCAAAATACCTAATAGCTACTCCGTGGTAATTTGCAGTGATCTTCAAGCCTAACTGATAACCACCGAATATCACTGCCTTTGAAAGAGTGACTCATCGTTATCCACCGAGTATCTATCTATGCCTTGGTGGTTAATATGAAACAAAATTACTTAAAGGCTTTTACATGAAGTTATAAAGTGCCGGAACATTCTGCTAGTTTTTAAAGACGTTTCTGAAACCAGTACTCCTTGCACTTCGCATTTATCTGCATATCTTGATATTGTGAGAATATAACCGATGATCGCACGAAACTAGGCAGATTATCTGCATATAATGTAATGATGGTCCTAATACTGTCCTGAAAAACTCCCTCAAAAAACCCTACAGTCAGATAGCTGGGAACTAATTCTTCATTGTCCGTTTACGTCTAGCTGAAAGACCATTTACCCAAAGTAGATTCATATATGATATGTTCAAAAATATTAATTTAATGGATGGTTGGAAAAGGAATTTCGATGAGACCATGATTTACGGACGACCTTCGGGCGACGCTAAAGACACCCTGACAATTTTTACCTACATACTACGGCTAAATGAGGGTTATAAAACAGATTGAGGAGTTAGGATTAATATTTACAGTTGATGGTTAGGTTTAGGAATCAGATATAGAGTTTCCATCACGAACTGACATCAGCTATAATGCCAAAACTCTATTTAGCCAAATGGATGAGTGAATTTTGCGCCAAAATTAAAGATCTGTTATCGTTAATCTGATTGGCTCGTCCATAAATTATAGTCTCGCCGGAATTTCTCGTCATCATTCTTGACGACCTAAACAATATACAACAATGTTTCCACAGAAGTATGAGATTGAATCAACCAGGCATAAGCCCAGAACTAGCTCTTGCGTTATTGCTGGCGTCAGTTCGTGAGAACCCCGATAATTCATATACATAACTTCGTGTTGTAACTGTCGATTTACCATAATAGTAATATTTTCCAGAAATCGTTCCGTAACTAAATACTAGTAAATCGTCCCAATATCCCGATTTTAGTGTAAGTTTTATCGGATTAAGGGAAGTTTCTGGTAAGCTGAATTGGAAAATTTCGGGGAAATGCGACAAAAACATAATAATTTCATCCAGCCTAGAGGTTTTGCCCAAAATTTCCAGTTATTTTGGATAAATCCCCACACCTTTAGTGAAAATTTTGAGTTTTCCCCAAGACTTCTCCAGACTTTGATGAAAGCTTCGATTTTTTGTATGACTTTGAAAAAAACATCCGAAACACCTCAGCCATTGGCTGAGATTTGATTCGAGGCCATCCATATACTTTACTTTGAACTACATTTCGACTATTCAATATCAAGGATACTTAAATGCTGCATAAACCTAGATACTGCTTTACCGATCCTCACACACTCGTACTTTTACACTTACCTTTAGCAAGAACGACGTTACGCAAGGACCGAAAAGCGCGGTATATACTGAAATGCAAATTACTATGTAAAAGTAAAAACATATTGACCAATCTCTGGAACCAAAAAAATATAATTAAGATCTCTCTTTTAATCGCCACAATAATTCTACTTTTATTAGAAGCTGTAAAATCTTCAAAATGTATTAATCTACTTCTAAATATCCTTCAGACTGCAACCTCAAGCTTCGCTAGGCATATCAGTGGATCACCAATAACTCCAGACAGGAACATAGGTATATTATCGACAAAAGAGGAAAAAGAAAAAATGGTTAATCATAGTAAGACACTGTAACGGTAAATAAATCCCCAAAATAAATAGCTCTGTAAGTTTTCGACATTGGATGCTGACCACATGTTTTAGTGGACTCATCTAGCTGAAGGCGCTCGGTCATGCATCCGCACCAGATCACGTGTGGGAGCGCCGTGCTCAACATCTACTGCAATCGCGAGCCAGACTAGATCAGACGATTCCGATATATTGGCAATCGTCAAATACAACTTTTGATCCCCTCGATTCTGTCTTTTGATTTCTCTTGGTGGGTACGAGTTATATTAGGTGTTACTGGTAAAAGTGTTGTCAAAAACTGGATACCTGTTCCATCTTCATTGGTGAGCCCGACGTGATCTGGTACACCAAATCGTAAATTGTGAGTTTGTTCCATTTTGGGATTCTATATATTATTGCTTTATCTTAATTTTTATGCATTGTGATATTTTTTCTTGCTTTTTGGATATATATTTTTTTTCCCTCGTTCATTATCGTACTCCATATTTCATCATGACTGAACAGACACCTAAAGCATTTAAACTTAAGACCATGTCCCAACCCTCGTTCCAACTCATACCCTTTTGGCCCGACAGTATCGAAGCCTGGTTCTGCTACGCATAAGCCGACTCCCACGAGCACGGCGTGAACGACACACGTGCACAATTCCTCGCAGCAGTCAAGGCACTACCGCGGGAATTCAACAGGTACGTAACACCCAGTATGTTTACTAGTGATGTTTCTGAACCTTACGAAACACTGAAACGTTCTATACTTAAACGAGGAGACCCAACCGATCGACAAAGGTTAGACCAACTCCTTGGGTACGAGTTATACAGGGTGTTACTGGTAAAAACGTTGTCAAACACTGAATACCTGTGCCATCTTCAACACTATCCTCGGTCCTCATGAATATGTCAAGTTATGTCTTGAATGACCCCTGGGAAGTAGCTTGGACTGACCCCGTTGGTAGCGAATTCTAGTATTTGACTACTCTTTAGGAGTAGGACATGTGTCCACAGTCCATTTTTCTATGTTGTGTCTCCAGTTTCTGAGTGTTACTCCTCAGATTTGTGCTGAAGCTAAGGGAGATGTCCAGAATCGTTAAGGATGCTGTAAGCCTTTGGAAGGTCAGCTCGAATACCCCTGTACTCTGATGCGTAAAGGTTCACTAATTGGTTGTGCTCGTCATAAAACTTGAAGTTGAGTCCCCGAACTAATTTCGTGGCTCTCCATTGGATACGCTCCAGAGTGTCCTTATGCTTTTGTAGCGAAGAAGGAAAAACTATGTTTCCGTACTCGAAATGGTGACGAATGCAACAGTTGAAGATTATCTGGAAAGTTATTCCGTCGAACTGGCCAAAAATGCACTTCAATGTTACCGGTGCAAGGTTTGCTCGAAAGGCATTTTGGTCTTAGTTAGCGTAAGACTTCTAGTCATAGGTCACCAACATTCCTAGATCTCTTTCAGCCCAAAATACTTCTACAGGGGAGTTGCCTGAGTTGTAGTTGTAGTCTGCAAAATGTCTCAGATGAAATGCTGTACACTTTGAAGTGTTAAAGCTAAGTTCATTGTCGTCTGCCCAACTTTGAAGTCCATTCGGATCCTACTGAATTCCCTGTTCCTTCTCATGGTTACGTACTTCTGTCTAGAGTTTCACATCATCAGCAAAGTGTAATAAATCTGACGACACATGTTGTGAAAGATCGTTTATATAAGTCAATGAAAGGTGTATAGTATTAAACCCTGGGACACGCCACTAACATATTGGATGGCCCTGGAGAAAGTAAACACTTCAAAATGTAGGTTTTCTAGATACGGAATGAGTCAATTAATTAAAGGTGATTTGATGCCTAATCGTGTGAGCTTTTTGATAAGACACATATGGTTGGCCTTATCGAGAGTTCTTGAGAAGTCAAAGTAAAAGACATCAACCTTCTCCTTGCGATCGAGGATGGTTGTCCATCTGTCCAATGCACTCAACAGGTTGGTTATATATGAGTGGCCTCTTCTGAAACCGTGCTGTTGGTATGTAAAGGAGTTTTTGGATCATAAATACTAGTGTATACCGTAGCATATCAGAGACTCTATAATTTTGAGGCTGTAGAAAGAAGAGCCACCGGTCGGTAGCTTGAAGTTTCGCTACGTCGACCTCTGTTGTAAATTGGTGTGATGTGAGCCAGCTTCCAAATTTCCGAAAATGTGCCTCAGCTTAGCAGATGTAAGAACAGCGCGCTAATTGGTGTTGCCAGGACTGAAGCTTCTTCCCTCAGTATAAGAGAATGAACCATACCCGGACCGGGAAAAGTCTTTTTTTAGGTAATCTACTTCCAGGTACACCAAATCAGAGCTCAGGTTCACTTCTGAAATTCCTTTAGAGTTGCAGGTGAAGCTTTCAGCAATATGTTAAGTGTGGGTCGGTTAACATTTTTGAGAGAACTACTCAACAAGAAGGTTAGCGGCGTCACTGTCATTGTTGTTCGGACTATTAGGACCTATCATCTGGGAAATCTAAGTTTTGTTTTGTCGAGGAGAGACTGAATAACAGAATAAGCTTTTCTGATTGGTGACAAGTTTATCGATAAGCTTTGTCTGGTGCTGAAGCCTTTTATTTATTTGCATTGCCTCTATGCGCCGTTGTTACCAGTTCGTTTGTATTCTGTGCGACAGTACCTTTTGCAGCTTTGCAAACGTAGAGTGCGGTTCATGATGACTGTACGTTGCTTGTAGTTTTTGCAGATCATTTGGAAAACAGACTGAGAATATATCCATGTTTCATACATACCTATCAGCATTATTAGCATTACTGAGTTCACGCAGTTAATCCATTTTATTTGGTAAGCCCGTGACGTTCACATATAAGCGGTTCATGCTTTCAATTTGAAACCCGTGAGCTTCTCCGTCCTGTTTTTCTGTAAAAACCTTGTGTGAATGGACAAATAATCTACCTACACAGAGTTTTCCTATCTTGTGGCCTCAGTCCTTTCTACGTTTTTTTATTATCTTGACAGTTCACAAGTGAAACAGTCAGTTTCAACTTTCCTTAAGGATGTTCCTGGTGAGATTGCTCTCAGAATACTGTATATTAGGCAGTATTCTTACATTCTTACCTGATTTCAGTAAGCGACTAGCCAGTAGGACGTTCGCTATATCGAAAGTGTTAGTCAGCGCTACACGAAGTACTCTTCGGTGATGTTGATGCTTCGAGTCCTTTCCGCGAGTGAGCCGTGTGACCGTCGAAGGCTGTATTCTGTGAAGTTTGTGCTTCTTGTTTAGCTCTTCCTAGAGCATACTGCCATTTTTGTCCTGCAGCCTGAAGGGCAGGTCTGGGCTGTCTTCAGGTTTTATGGTTTTGGGAGAATCACCGCCAACCGTGATCGTTTTCCCAGGTTTTCGGGTACGTTCAGGTCGAAGACCTTGTTGTTTAGTGGTTGAATCGCGTTTTAAATTCTTGTAGTCTTTGCTGTCCGGTTGAGCATTTTTGGGGTAGACTGTACGACCAAATCACTGGTTGAATTCATTACAATATCTTCGATGTTCGTCTTCTTAGAAGGTGACACGCGGTCGTTTTTAACTTTGTTAACGGGAGTCCAATCGCCCAAGGAACTTTCGATGACTACCGCTGCATTTAGGGACTCTGAGCTGAGAGACCCAAGTCTGCTGAGGGGGCCCAGTACCGTCGATGTCATGATAGTCCCAAGCTCCGGAACATCCTCACTAGTGTCATTACATACCATGTGGATAGCAGCGCTGTCGAGGTCCCCTCTTTTATCTACACTGGGCGTCTTTGTTTGTTTACCTGTTTTGGGACAGTCTTTTTTAAAGTTTGCTGACATTTTTCGCAGACCTGTCTAGAGACGATGATGTTCCTCAGAAAAAACTTAGCATCCATGTTGCAACGGCAACATACCCTCATACGATTCTACTTGCTGAGTCTGTTGTAACCGGTTACTGTAAGATCTGTGCTTTCTTCGTAGAACCAGCCCTCGCCAGTGTAACATTGCATGCCAGAGGTAACAGCAGGAGGGCATCTGCGGTGCTTGCACGAATTCTTCGTGACTATTTTGATGTAGATTGTTTGGTAGATCCTAGCAAAAATCTGCGACCGTAAAACAAAAAACCAGCACACTAAAACCGGATAAAATGAATAAACTGGGTGGTACAAAAGGTTAAAATAAACTAAAACTAGTCTTGACGTGAAAAACGGAAAAGCACAATAGTGAGCTGAGGAAAAATCACAGTCAACTATTGAGTTGTATGGACCTCAAAAAGCAAAGTAAATTACCAAAAGTAAATCTCAGGACAGATTCTTTGGATTAAAAGTGTCAGTTTTGTTGCCAAAGTACGCAGCAAAATTTTGAGAAATGCATATTACGTTAAGACTAAACTTCCCATCCGTAAACGCGCGAAACTTACTCAGGTTGATGCTTCACATGACACAGTGGTCATAGAAATTGGGGGATAAATGTGTGTACTTTAGGACATGAATCAAGTTTGTGAAACTTAATCTTTCAGTGTAGAAGTTGGCGAGCTTTGTGAAAGCTGCATTGATTACTCCACGAATTTACTTGTCTTGCATCAGGGCTCTTACCTAGAGCTAATATTTGAAACCGCGAGAACGAAAACTTGCGATAATGTCATTTCCAAGTGTGTACTGATATGGAGTAGCTTTGCTTTGTGAATATGCATAGCATATGGATTAGATACGCTTGTTTAATTTCTTGATGAAGCCATGGTATGT